CTGCTGCAGTTGCTGTTGCAGTTGCTGCTGCAGTTGCTGCTGCAGTTGCTGCTGCAGTTGCTGCTGCAGTTGCTGCTGCAGTTACTGTTGCAGTTGCTGCTGCAGTTGCTGCTGCAGTTGCTGCTGCAGTTGCTGCTGCAGCAACTGCAGCAGCAGCTGCAGCAGCAACTGCAGCAGCGCAGCAGAGACAACCACATTTGTTTTTGCTGTTGAAGGTGTATTTGTTTTTTGTTTTTGTTTATATTAACTAGACAAAGTAAATAAATTATTTTATTTTATTTTTATTTTATTTTGTTTTATTTATTTTATTTTATTTTTATTTTATTTTATTTTATTTATTTTATTTTATTTTATTTTTTAATAAAAGAAATATCGTCTTTAGTATATTAACGAGGAAACAGGAAAGCTCTGCAGCAGCAGCAGCTGCTGCTGCTGCTCCTATTGCTGCTGCTGCTGCTGCTATTGCTGCCGCTGCTGCTGCTGCTGCCGTTGCTGCTGCTGCTGCTGCTGTTGCTGCTGCTGCTGGATGCTGCGCCTTTGTTTAGCGCCGCCTACCTTCCCTTGAGTGCCGGGTGTACATACAGCCACAGCAGCAGCAGCAGCAGCAGCAGATGCAGCAGCAGCAACTGCAGCAGCAAGCGAATGTTTAAGCAGCAACAGCAGCAACAGCAGCAACAGCAGCAGCAGCTGCTGCAGCAACTGCTGCAGCAACTGCTGCTGCTGCTTGTCTGCTTATTCCCACTTGGGACAGCCCATAGCCTCACTGCAGCAGCAGCAGCAGCAGCAGCAGCAACACCAGCTGCTGCTGCTGCTGCTGCTGCTGCTGCTCATTCGCGGAAGCCATCTGCCCAAGCGTCTGCCTGCTGCATGCATTCGTGCAGCAGCTCTCTTGCTGCTACAACTGCAGCATGGCAGCTAGCTGCTGCTGCTGCTGCTGCTGCAGTTTGCTGCTGCTGCACTGCAGCGGGCGTGTGCTGCTGCAGACGCTGCAGCAGCTGCAGCAGCTGCTGCTGCTGCACCGATGAGAGGAAGGGGGCCCCTGAGAAGCTCTGTAGCTGCGCTGCTGCTGCTCTTGCTGCAGTATGCAGCAGCTCAATCTGCTGCTGCTGCTGCTGCAGTTTTTGCTTCCTTTTGTTTCTCTTCTTATCGAGTTCATCTTCACTGAATATACAAAACTCCTCCTCCCCCTCCTGCTGCTGCTGCTGCTGCTGCTGCTGCTGCTGCTGCTGCTGCTGCTGCTGCTGCTGCAGCTGCTGCTGCAGCTGCTGCAGCGGCGGCAGCGGGGGCACAGCTAGCGTCAGCTGCAGCGGCAACCAAGACACGAGAGAGATTTGTTTTTTTCTGTTTTCTACCTGAACCCCAATCCAGTATTTTTGCTGCTGCTCCAGCAGCAGCGGCTGCACAGCAGCAATATCTATATAAACTTCTCTGCTGCTGCTGCTGCACCCTGCTGCTCCTCCTGCTGCTGCTGCTGCTGCTTCGTCTCCTGCTGCAGCAAGCAGCACGTCCTGCTGCACCACACAACTCAGGGCCCCTGCTGCTGGCTGCAGCAGCACGGGGGGCCCCCCCCTCACCGGGCGGTGTACATAAACCCAAACCCTGGTGATGCAGCGGAATGCTGCTGCTGCTGCTGCTTCTGCTGAGTCTGCTGCTGCTGCTGCTGCGCATGCAGCCTGTACATACACCCGAAACGCCCCCGTTGCTCGTCGCCGCGGCAGCGGCTCCACTGCAGCATCAGGCAAGTAACAACTCGTGGGGGCCTGCACTCTGCTGCTGCTGCTGCTGCTGCTGCTGCTGTTGCTGCTGCTGCTGCTCTTGCTGCTGTTGTTGTTGGCGTTGGTGGAGCTCCCGTTAGGAGAGACCGACGCGCTGGTTGTTGCTGCTGCTCCTGCAGCAGCACCAGGCGCTGCTGCTCCTGCTGCTGCTGCTGCTGCTCCTGCTGCTGCTGCTGCTGTTGCTGCTGCTGCTGCTGCTGCTTCGGGGCTGGGGGGAGGCGGGGGGGCAGCCCAAGTGAGGTCCATAGATCGAGCCCGCAGCAGACGCAGCGCTTCAGTGCATGCTTCTTCGTACTGCAGCAGCAGCAGCAGCAGCAGCAGCAGCAGCAGCAGGAGTAAATGTAGCAGGAAGGGCAGCGACAGGAGTAGTTGCAGTAGCAGCAGCAGTTGCAGCAGCAGCAGCAGCAAGAGCAGAAACAGCAGCAGCAGCAGAGAAAAAACAAAATATAGCATAGATGCAGCAGCAGAAGCAGCAGCAATAGAAACAGCAGCAGAAGCAACAGCAGCAGCAGCAGCGATGCAAGCAACAGAAGCAGCAGGAAG